TGTCAAATATGAACTAGATTTGGTTTAGAATAAGATTTTTCTGTTCTTTCCTGAAAAGAATGCTTAATTTTTAAAATTTTATTTAAAGAAAGAAGAGAAAATTTAAAAACAAAATGGAAAAAGTAGAATACAGAATTTTAAAAAATTAGCATCATAAAATCCCTAGCTGATACATTACATATTGTTATCTTAACAATAGTTGTTAAAGTTACAAAATCAAAGCATAAAAAGTGGCTAGGCACTCAAACATTGACAGTGCAATCTCTTCTATTCAGTGATCTAATAGAAATTTAGTAATATGGTCATCTATATTACACACTATATGTACCGTTATATCCATTAGAGCACTTTTCTTCCCTTTCACTTTTATAATATCTATTATACTTTTTGGATCCCATTAAAGAATGCTTAAATTTAACCAAAAAGAAAAACAAGCAAGCTAGCAAACAAACAGATACAAAATGTAATAACTATTCTAGCATCAAACTTCTGAAAGCAGTGTTGAAAATCATATAACTCATCTAGTGGCTCCCAAGTCATGAAGACCCAATTTTTTGCCAACATGGCAGGGGCGGGGGCAATGAATGGCTTCTCATCTTTTAAGATCACATTTTTACACTTTTATTTTAAAAGCTAAGTACTTTTTTTAAAAAAATAAGTTTCCATAGGTAGGTATAATTTATTTATTTTCTTCATTTATCCAGTTTAAATTATTCAAGGACTATGTTTTGGTGCTTAATTGGGCAAAGCATTAATAACCCTGGTGTAACTAAGGGGGACTAACTGTGCTTGTGAGAGGCCTGTTCCTGTTAGACTCTATTTTTCTGGAAAGGAGGAGTTAGTGCTTATTAAAAGCTATTGATCCAGACAAATTGCCTTGAGGGTGGGGACCTAGATTTAGGGCTGACAGTGACTGAGACCTTACATGGTCCTGCTCACCCCTTTTTGAACAGGCCTTTAAAGGAACACGGTTTAAGAGTATAAAAAAGGAGTACAGGTTCAACAGATTTAGAGATTTGCACCACCACTTTCGTGATAACTGGCTATTTAAATGGTCATTACACAGAGGCAATGAAGGATAAATATATTTTTAAAAATTCATTGTTGTTTATTTTCTTCTATGTGTCTCCTCAAACAATCCTATGTGGGAGAAAAATGAAATTTGGCACATGTGAATTGATATTCTGCACAATTTTGTGAATGTGGATACGCTGCCCAAACTTCCTGAGCCTGTAGTCTGATTACAATAAAGTAGAAAAATAGCACACTTTATTGTAAGGATCAAAACAGGTATGGGCCACACAACCCTGAAGCCAGTTAGTGAATGGAGATCCATTAACTGCTTGTTGCTTGATCCAATTTTTATATCTTTAAAAGCCTGGCAGACAATGCAGCAATGCTGCACACAAATGGTATGGACTTGAAGTTCTTGTGGCCTGAGTGCCTCTAAGGCTGAACTTAATTTCATCTCCTTTCAACAAGGTCCATGATGTCTTTTTCCCAAGTGAACCAAATCAGGATTGTGACTGGAATTTCAGAGAATCAAGAAATAGGGATAAGAGGAAAATATTTTTACATTTATTAAACATCGGCTATGTGCAAGTGTTTCATCTATAGTTTCTCATTTACTTCCTGTCATGAGCTAATATGATAGGTGTCACACTGCTTCATTGATTCTCTCTGTTATGGTTTAACTTTGGTGTTAAATGTATTTGGAAGGTGATTTGCTCTCAGGGCACCATACTCAGCAGTGGATTAGTCCGTTGTGAGTTCTTAGCTGACTAGTGTTAGGAGGTTATTTATTCACTTGAGGAAGTTAGATGGAAGCTATTCATTGGTTAGAGGCAGCTCACTGAGGGCATGACCTGGAGGTGTGTATCTCCCTCCTGACTCTTCCTTTCTCTTTCCTCTTCCTGGTTGCCATGACATGAGCAATGTTCCTCTATGCGGGCCTTTCTACCAAGCTATTTTTGTCTTAGAGCTTGCTAACCACACAAGGATTGAACCCTCTAAAACTGTGAGCCAAAACAAATCTCTCCTTCAAGTGTCAGGTGTGAGATATTGTGTCTCAGAGATGAGGACAGGACTGAGGCCCCCCCCCCATATTGTTCCTTAATGTAGCAATCATTCATTGTTTCTCTGGAGTGAAATGAGCAATTCTGATGTGGGCCAGGCCTGGCTGATCTTGGCTGGGCTTGCTCAGTTATCTGTGGTCCATTGGTGGGTCAGTTGGTACTGACCAGGTTAAAGAGACCCTGGTCAGATTGGAACATCTCAACTCTACTCCACTGGGTCTCTTACTTTTGCAGGTTCAGCCTGAGTTTGTTCTCAGGCCGTGGCAGAAGTTAGCAAAGAAAGAGAAAACATGCATGCTACCATCTTGCTGGCCAAAGTAAATCATAGAGCCAACCTCTGAGATAGGGTAGAAGAGCCTGCATGGTAAAAATAGATTCAGACAAGCATAGCAGATGGGGATCATTAGTGCACTTGATCGGCCACAATGTGCACAGTCCTTAACCTCATCTGTAGACGGAAAGATGGAGGCTGGCATCTCTCTTTCTCTGCTGGACACAGGTCTGCCCCCTGGTGTCTTGCTCTACTGTGTTCATTTCTGATGTTCTATTACTCAAAACTATTTTCCAGTCTGCTCTATTTCCCCCTTTCTCATTCTTTGGTCTGGATTGAAATTTCATGTAAAATGTTTGCCCGAGTTTAGTGACCTCAGGGACAGTGCAGGTGAGTCAGTAAGGTAGGTCTACTTAGAGAAAATAAAGGGGGATCAGATATGGGATTGGATGAGCAAAAATGAAAGCAGCTCCCCTGACTTTGTCTATGTCAGCTTTACCTGTACCTGTCACTTTTTTTTTTTGATTCTGGTGACAAAATCCAAATAAGGCTAGGTCTTTGTGTTGGCTCGGAGCACTTGCTAGCTCTTTGACCTTGGGCAAAAAGGTGACCTAATATCCTTGAGTCTCCGTCTCCTCATGTGTGAGGTAAGAATATAGCCTAGATAATGACTTTTAGGTTAAAGGATACCTGAGGTGATGAATCTCTTCTGGTCATGCAACCACTGTGATTTGTTGTTGTCCTTAAGCACCTGTTGGTTTCTGAAATGCTGAAGTTTGCATTTGTAACTTCATGCTCTGGGTCTGCTTCTAGGGTGGCACAGAAGGCTGAGCTGCTCTAGGGCTGTTAACAGATTTTATGACTTTGTTGAGTACCCCACAGTACACTCATTAATTATATGATGCTGTTGAGTCACTGTTGCAACGTATACATTTTGTTAATTGATTTGTATAGGCTGGCATCTAGCAACATAAAGAATATGCAGGACCATTACATTTACATGGGGTTGTAATTGCTTTTACTGCCCTCTCTTGCTTCCCAAAGGGAGAACACAAACTTTGAGTTGAGTATCTCCAGTGCCCACTAATCCAGTGCTTACAGGCAGGGCAAGACAACTTGCCTAGATGCTTATGAAACACCCCAAGTTAACGAAAAATAGATGAGTAAATAAATAAATACACAAATAAATTTGTTTCCATTTTTTTCCATTACCTGTATTTCCAAAGTACTCGTGAACCTTGAATTGTGTCATTAGTGCCACATACATGTAAATCTGATGCATATGTTAATGTGGATTGAGCACCTTTATGATCTTTCTTTGGCTGGGGGTGACTGAGGATGCTGTTAGAGTTTTCTGGTGCAATAGAGAAACAAAAGGAGAAAAAGTGGCCTTGTTTGAGGACGCAGAGAGGATACTTCAATCCGCGGAGGTTGGTTTTCTCCTCTGACCGGATACAGAGGAGGCAGAGGGTTATATGACCTCTGATCCTAAGTGGCACCTGCGGTGGGCATCGGTGATGCGCGAGGAATTGATTGGAATTCTCTTCTCCCGCAAAGGGGAAAGGAAGTTGCAATTAGGGCTGAAGGGGAAGGAGGAGGAAGTGGTCTTGAGGTTAAGCATTTTTGCTTTGGCCTTCTGCCATGTGAGATCACCACGCTATCATACAGTAATTTATACCAAAGCTAGAACTTTTCAGATGCCAAGATGTGTCTAGTCTCTGCACTCAAAGATCTGACAATACTGTCTGGCATATGATTTTACAAAGCCTGACTTTAAGTGGCTTGCTCTTGGAGATGCAGTGACAACAGTAAGGTGCAAACTTCATGCAGGGAAGTTTAAATGTGGTCCCAACTGCAAACTCAAATTCGCCTTTTCTGATTTCGCGGGTCTAGCAGCTCCTGACAATCCCATCTGGCTGCCTTTCGGAGATGGCGCAGAGCCTGGCCATTGCCATCCAGGTCCAAAGTGCTTACCACCGCGCGACAACTCCTAGCAGTTCTGGCGCTTTCCAGCACTGGCGTGCGCCTGGCGCCCTCCCCAGACCTGGCTCAGAGAGCATCCCTGACCTAGCCAAGGGTAGAACTCAGAGCAGCGCCCGCCGGGCCGTTCGTCTGGATCTCCGTACAAAGGGTAGGCGGAGCAGGGCCGTGGCCCCCGCCTCTCCCCCTGCAGAGGACCCTCAGGCCCAGGCGTACTTTCTACGTTAGGCCTTCATCCTGGCAGCCTCTGTTTGGAGAGCTAGAGAGGGGCTCCCGGGTCGGAGGGCTCCCTGAAGCCGCCCAGGAGACTTCTTTGGGAGCCAGCTCCAGAGCGAGGCGGGAGGACTGGATAGCGCCGGCGTGGTGAGTGGGGATTGGAAAGTTGGGCGCTTGAGCCGCCGGGCGGGCGCGGAGCCAGGCGCCGGTGTCCGCGTCTCATGAATATGCACGAGCCACCTCCCTCCCTCCTTGACGTCACGGACCGTCTGGGGTGAGAGCCGGAGCGGCTCCGGGTCCGCGCCAGTGAGCGCGGCTGCTGCTGGCGAGCGCGCGGCGCGGCGGAGGGCATCGGAGGCCGAGCGCGGCGGCGACGGAGAGGGCACCAAGGCGCACCCTGCGGGTGCCGAGAAGGGCCCACGGCGCGGGGACATCCGGAGACGAGCTGGTGGCGGCGGCAGCTCGAAGGCGGCTTGGGCGGCGAGGATGCTGCCCAGGAAGCTGTGCTGGGTGCCGCTCCTGCTGGCGTTGGGCGTGGGGAGCGGCGGCGACAGCGGGGACAGCCGGCGGCGCCGCCTCCTTGCGGCCAAAGGTGGGTGCTGGGGAAGTTTCCTCCTCTCGCAGGAGGCAGGCAGGGCGGCGACGTGAGAGTGCGGACGGCCGAGACCCGACTCGCGCTGGAATTACCCGCTCTCCCTCACCGCAGCTGCTCCGGCCTCTGAGCGCCCACGGATCCCAAATTCAGCGCTCCATGTCTAGGGCCCTGCCCCTGGGCGGGGTCCGGCGCCGAGGAGGAAGCGAGGTCTGGGGAGTCCAGACAACTTTGGGGGCGGTCTGCGTCCGCGTGAAAGTGTCGCTGACTGCAGCGCGGGGGCCGCGGGAGTCGGGGCTGGTGCGGCCGCGGGGAGAAAGAGCAGGTGTGTCGCGCGCCCCGGGGGAAGACTTAACGCGGTGTCTCCGAAGGAGCTGGTAGAGCTGTGACTGGCCTCCCAGCTGGAGGATGGGGTGGAAACTTGCAGGCTCCAGGGAAGCACCACTGTGGCGCTCCGTTAGCTCCCGTAAGACAGCGCTGAGTCCCCTGGGGACTCTTGTCCTCCTGGTGGGCAGGGAGTCTGGACGAAGTGCAAGATGCGATGCTCTCCCACTGCTTCTCCGCCTCCGCTGGGGCTCCTGAGGTCCAGAACCTGGTACCCTTCCCTGGTTCGCCCTGTGGGTTTGAAGATCTTGACCTCTTCGCCCTCCTGCCCAGAAAAAAAATCTAGATTCCAGTAAACGCCGGGTGCTACTAGCCGGGCTGAGAAGCTGGAGATCTCCGGACTTTGACAGCGGCCAGAGCGCTGGGAGTAGCACAGGACTGAGCGAGCGGGGAGGGCGGGTCTGAAACAGAAATCACGTGCTAGTCGGGGATGAGGAGACTTGGGAGAGCCGGCCTGAGAGAGAGTGGGTGTTGGTGGTGGGCGCAGGGGAGACTGTAGCAGATACAGGCAGAGCGCTCAGCCTAGTGATAACTTGTTGATTCTCTGCGTTGCTGACAAGGAGAGAGTTCGTTTGGTTTCTGGGCTGTGGACAGGTCTGCAAGGTGACAGACGATACGCGTGGCCCTTGGCATTTTGGCTGGAGATCATCTGAGAGGGGGGATTTGCATTGGTCAGAAAACAGCTGCCTATTAGACCTGATTTGGAGGCTGGCTTTGAGCTATAGCTTATCAGTAGAGAGGCAAGGGTTGTATTCCAGATGGAATTACTCCTGGTGGGTGGGGAGATTCGGAGGTCTTGTCCGAGATTCAGGAACTACTTTCACCTGTAACTCGGGAATGGAAAGAACAAGGGAGTTTCTGTTTGTAAATATTTGCATATATAGCATTGGTGACATAATTTTGAAGATTTTATAAGCAGGTGTCTTGTTTCTGTCTAGCTTTTTCCTCCGGGTTGACAGGCAGTTTCTTCTCTTTATTTTCTGAAAGACAAAGGAAACACTCATTATGTAAAAGTCTAACACTGGTTTGGTAAAGGAGTCACTGATACAGAGGGATCAACCTGACTGTTTTGGTGAAAACAGAATTAAAAGCCCAGGAGCTTCTACATCTTTTGCCCTCCTCTAATAAAGACACTTTGTAAAGCAGGAAGATGACACAGTGGGGGAGGTGCGATTTTCCATCATTTTGTAGCAGAGCAAATAGTGTATTTATAAGCGGATTCTTCAGACAGGAGCGAGCTGGAGGCAGGTGAAGGCTAGCAGAGAAGTCACTGTGTGGAGGACACATCGCTGAGCTCTTAGGCTGAAGGGAAAGGGAAGTGAGAAGAGAGGAAGAGAATGTTAAAACAAAGAAAAGAATCAGGCACTTGAGGCACTTTTTGCGAATAATTACTTGCATTTTAACCAACATCATTCGTCTTCCTCTCTTTGAATGCATCAATTTCATGGTTAAAACCAGCCATTTCTCTTTCCAGTGTAAAAGTTTATTGGCTGTGCGTGAATTCAGTGTCTGAATTCCTCCTACTCGCTCTCCTCTTCCCCCTTCCAACCACTGGGAGGCTGCAGAGAGCATCTTTTGCTGCATTTTTAGAGATAAACCTATGTTTGATCACAACAGAGACATTTTATTATGATATTTTAGGTGGTGTTTACAAGACTGACTTTATTAAAATGCGGTTGTACTTTACGTTTCTAAATCATATAATCTCTTAAGAACGTTTTCTGATGACAAAGCTATATGCTTTTGATACAATGCACCCTGCCTCCAGCTTTGCCATTTTAAGGTTTGTGCTGATATTACTACACCAAAAAATAAATAAACTCAGTAAATCATATGAAGGAGATTTAATCCAAGTAGATTTTTTTCCTTCTATATATTTCTGTATTCATGTATAGAAGAAAATTGAGATGTGGCATCAAGCTGAGATGTGGCAGAGTTGAATGTGTCCCCTGGACAGCTCTTCCAGAGTGTGTGCTCCCACCTTTGGGGCGGGGTGGTAAAATGTTATGTTTGTGGTGCACAGCAGGCTCTACCTTTACGGTTTTTTTTGTTCTTGGTGTGGGAGATCCAGCCACTAATCTCAGTTTGTGACTTTTCCATGATTGGTGTGTTTTCCACGTGAGTATATTCCCAATTTTAGAAATAATGCATTGGCTAGGAAGTTACAACCCTTTCTGTTCATTCCCAACTCTGTAACTGGGCTATGTAAAAAAGACAAAATAAATTTCTTGAACATATCAGATTACATGTATATGCTCTATGAACCAAGCTGGGATGATATTTTGGACTCAAAAAGTCTCTAGGGCTGAGAAAGACATGTCTTATTCAAGGTAAAGAGAATCATGCAGTCCAGACAGGTATCTGAAAATTTGTGCTAAATCTGGTAGAATGGCAGTGTTGTCATGATCCCAAGGACCTGGTATAGGACCACTTTTTAGTTCTCAACTTTCAGGCCTAGAGCTTGTTGAGAACAATCCTTGAGTACAATCCTTGGGTGTATCCATTAGTGTAATGCTCATTTGTGTGCCCAGAGCCTGGTCCAGTATTTGGAAGCTTCTGAGCAGATACCAGAAGACCATCCTCTGGCCCTTTCCATCCTACTCCTTCTTTGATGAACTTTTGATCCAGTTAGAGAGAAAATTCTTAGGTAGAAATGTTAAGAGAATGACATCAGACAGAATTTGTCTAAAGTAGAATACTAAGTGATGGTGACACAGGCAAGGGAGATGGTGCAGGGGAAATACGTTTACAAAAGCAGCTTCTGGTAATAGGGAAAAGAGAGAACAGGTTAGAAGGGTAACAATGACAGTGCACTTGCAGTAACTGTGTGTATATAAACCCTCCTTAGCGTGTAACAAGCACCATGCTTATCCCATCCCTGTGGGCTGTCCTCATGCTTATGACACATGAAGAGCCATTCTTAGACTATTTTAGATGTGAAGAAACAGAATCTGAGAGTGAGTTCATAACCTGCCAAGAGCTTTAGCTATAGCATGCAACTCTGTGATGAGATTAAGGTTCACCATGCCTGTGCCCTCAAATTACGTATCAGGTATCCTTTCCTTTGGACTTGAAAGCAGATCTGAGGTTTCCTGGGAAACTGAGCTGTACCTGTGAGTATCTGGACATCCCTGTGGTCCTGCCAATAGTAGCATAAAGGTCCAGGATATTGAGTATGAAGGGCATGGAGGTAAAGTGACAGAGGAAGGCTTTGCTTTCATCTATGGGAATAGGTCTTTTTGCTTGGAGCAGAAGCTTCATTCTCCTCCCCTTGCATTAAAAAATCATCCTTGAGTATTCACGCTTTCACATTTAGAATTTTTGGTGGAGGCATAAGAAGCATGGAATTGTTTGGTGAATGGTACTTAATTGTCTTGGGCAAGAAACATGTTTCCTAGGGGTTTGATAGGGTTATTTCAGTAGCTGAAACACAAATTTCAAGAATCCCTCAACAATGCTATGCATCCAAGGCTGTGCACTGTCCAGTAATCACCCTAAATCACCTGTGGTTTTTCACTGGAACCCTTTCTCTGCCTTAGACCTTAAGTTTTGATTAGAAGGGCATCTGCCTCTGCTTAATTTCCATTGTTACTCAAGATGTAGTTAGACTTGGACATAATCTTTCCCAAGAGTCTTCTGGGCTGATCAATGCCAGGAGATGGTCCCCATCCCCGTGGCATGTGTGTCTTTCGTTGCCTTACTCTGAGGATAGTCTGTGGGTCCAGAGAGGTAGAGCCCCATTATGGCTCTGTTCTATCTAAGGGCTTGGCTGTGAGACATGAGCTGAGTAGTCAATAGCATTTGCTTGGTGAATGCATTTCTTGTCATAAATATTTTAGATTTTTCTCCCCTGCAGTGTAAAGCAGTTTGGGCTTAGCTGTCAGAGAAACTTGGGGCTCAATCTTGGTTCTATCACATCTCCAACAGATGATCTTTTGTAAGTTCAAATGTTTGAGCTTCAATTTGTTGTCATGACAGTACTTAGAACCACTTAGCCTAGTTCGTGAGCCAGTTCGTGGTATGTAAAAGTCACTAACTATACAATGACTATAATTGTTAACCACTTAACATCTGATTCTGTTGTCTGAGATTTGTTGAAATTACTTTTTTGGCAATTCAATATCTTTGAAAATATCTTTCCCAGCTCCAACACTTATCTTTTGTTTCTGTCCTTCCATGTCTCTCACTCTTACTCTGTGTGTGTGGATGCATGTGTAAGTATCACATATGAATGCACACATGCATTTGGCTTACACTGTTTATGAAAACATCTGCTTCTTTCTCCTGGTCTATGAATGCCTTTGAAGCCAGGGTTGCCACCTCAGTCATCTCAAATGGGCTGAAACTTAAGGCAGAGCCTGCTCAGAGGAAGCCTCAACAGTGTTTGATATATAAACAAATAAACAACCATATCTCTGTGCGTCAGCATCAAAGGTGTGTGAGGTCCTGGACTCTGGAGGAAGAGTTTATTTAGTATTATTTGGGGTATAGAGATTTCCCTCCCATTGACACACATAGCAGAAGAGCATTCTTTCTCTTTTTTGACGTTCATAGCGTTTGTAATGCTGTATGTTTACATGAAGGGGTGATCCACACTGGGACAAATAAATAATAGC